CATGGGTTTGTTTCAGGACTCCCAATTTTGTTCCGTTGATCTAGCTGTCTGTCTTTATGCCAGTACCACACTGTCTTGATTACTGCTGCTTTGTAGCAAGTTTTAAAATTGGGAATTGTGAATCTTGCAACTTTAGTCTTCTTTATCAAGATTGTTTTGGGTAGTCTGTGTCCCTTGCAATTCTATATGGATTTTACAGTCAGCTTTTCAATTTCTACAAGAAGCCATCTGGGATCCTCATAGGGACTGCACTGAATTTATAGATCAATGTGAGTACTGTTGCCATCTTAACAGTATTAAGCCTTCCAATTCTTGAGCATGAGATATTTTCCATTTATTTAGGTTGTCTTTAATTTGTTTCAAAAATGTTTTATAGTTTTCAGAATATAACTTTTGCACTTCTTTTGTTAAATATTTCTGAAAAAATTTCTTCTTTTTGATGCTATTGTAAATTGAATTATTTTCTTAACTTCATTTTTGGATTGTTCATTCCAAGTGTATAGAAATACAATTAATTTTTGCATACTGATCTTGTCTCCTGCAACCTTGCCAAACTCACTTATTAGTTCCAATAGTTTTTGTATTGGGTTATTCTGGCATTGCTATAAACAAATACCTGAGACTGAGTAATTTATAAAGAAAGAAAGTTTAATTGGCTCATGGTTCTGCAGGGTGTACAGGAAGCGTGATGCTGGCATCTGCTTCTGGTAAGGGTTCAAAAAGCTTACAATCGTGGTGGAAGATGAAGGGGTAGTAGGCGCATCACATGGTGAGAGCAGGAGCAAGAGAGGGAGGTGAGAGATGCCACACACTGTTAAACAACCAGATCTCTCATGAACTCACTCATCACCAAGGGGATGTCACTAAACCATTCATGAGGGATATGCCCCAATGATCCAAGCACCTCCCGCCAGGTCCCACCTTCAACACTGGGGATTACATTTCAACATGAGATTTGGAGGAGACAAATATCCAAATTTTATCAGTGTTTTTAGTGAATTCCTTAGGATTTTCTATATATAAGATCATGACATCTGCAATAGAGGTAGTTTTAGCCTTCCTTTCCAAACTGTGAATGCCTGTAACTTATTTTCCTTGCCTAATTGCCATGGCTAGAACCTCTAGTCTCATGTCAAACATAAGGGATGGGAGCAGATCCTTGTCTTATTCCTAATCCTAGGGAGAAAGCATCCAGTCTTTTTTTTTTTTTTTTTTTTGTGAAGGAGTCTCACTCTGTCATCCAGGCTTGAGTGCAGTGGCGTGATCTCAGCTCACTGCAAGCTCCACCTCCCAGGTTCACGCCATTCTCTTGCCTCAGCCTCCCAAGTAGCTGGCATTACAGGCACCCACCACTATGCCCAGCTAATTTTTTGTATTTTTAGTAGAGAAGGGGTTTCACTGTGTTAGCCAGGATAGTCTCAATCTCCTGACCTCGTAATCCACCCACCTCAGCCTCCCAAAGTGCTGGGATTACAGGCGTGAGCCACCACGCCCGGCTGCATCCAGTCTTTAACGATTAAGTTTGATACTGTCTGTAGGTTTTTTTGAAGATACTGTTTATCAGGCTGAAAAAGTTCCCTTCTATTCCTAGTTTGTTGAATGTTTTTATCATGAATGGCTGTTGGATTTTGTCACATTTTTTTCTCTGTATCTATTGAGATGATTGTGTGAGTTTTTGTTTTTACTCTATTAATATAGTATATTATACTAAGTGATTTTCAGATGTTAAACCGCCCTTGCATTCCTGGGATAAAATCCACTTGGCCATAGTATATAGTCATTTTCACGTTAGAATATTCAATTTACTAGTATTTTGTTGAGGATTTTTGTATCTATAAGAAATAGTGATCTATAGTTTTCTTGCAATGTCTTTGACTGCTATTGTATCAGGGCCTCATAGAATGAGTTGGGAAGTGTTCCAGCCTCTTCTGATTTTTTGAAGTGTTTGTGAAGAATTGGTATTAATTCTTCTTTAAGTGTTTGGTAGAATTCACCAGTGAAGTCATCTGGGCCTGGGCTTTTCTTTGTGGGAAGTTTCTTTTTCTAATGAATCTCATTACCTATTTTCATCTATTTAGATTGTCTATTTCTTCTTGAGCCAGTTTCATTTTTTGTATCATTCTAGGGATTTGTATATTTAAGTTGTCTAATTTAGTCACATATAATTGTTCCTAGTATTCCTTTATGATCCTTTTTATTTCTGTAAGCTTAATAGTAATATTCCCTCTTTCATTTCTGATTACATTAATATGATTTTCCTTCCCTCTGTCCCCTCCCCTCCTTTTTTTTTTTTTTTTTTTTTTCTGGTCTCTTTAAAGAATCAGCTTTCTGTTTTGTTGATTTTTCTCTATTGCTTTGCTATTCTCTATTTCATTAATGTTCACTCTAATCTTTACTGTTTCCTTCCTTTGGCTTGCTTTAGGATTAGGTTGCTCTTTTTTTTTTTTTTTCCCAGCGCCTTAAGGTGGAAGATTAGGTTATTTATTTGAGATCTTTCTTTTTTGAAAGTGTAGGTATTTGCAGCCAGAAAAAATTCCTCTTAATATTGCTTACCATAAATTTTGGTATGTTATGTCTTTATTTTCGTTCATCTTGAATATTTTGGAATTTCTCTTTTGATTTCTTTTTGATCCATTGGTTTTAGGAATGTGTTGTTAAATTTCTGCTTATTTGTGAGTTTCTCAGTTAATTTCTGTTTCTGTTATTAATTATTAATTTAATTCCACTGTGCTTAGAGAATATATTTTGTATTATTTCTGTTCTTTTACATTTATTAAGGTTTGTTTGGCCGGGCGCGGTGGCTCAAGCCTGTAATCCCAGCACTTTGGGAGGCCGAGATGGGCGGATCACGAGGTCAGGAGATCAAGACCATCCTGGCTAACACGGTGAAACCCCATCTCTACTAAAAAATACAAAAAACTAGCCGGGCGAGGTGGCGGGTGCCTGTAGTCCCAGCTACTCAGGAGGCTGAGGCAGGAGAATGGCGTAAACCCGGGAGGCGGAGCTTGCAGTGAGCTGAGATCCAGCCACTGCACTCCAGCCTGGGCGACAGAGCGAGACTCCATCTCAAAAAAAAAAAAAAGAAAAAAAAGGTTTGTTTTTGGTCTGGCGTATAATCTATTTTGGAGACTGCTCTTTATGCACTTGAGAAGAATGTACATTCTGTTATTATTGAGTTGGGTGTTCTATATACGTTTGTTAGGTCCGATTGGTTTTTAGTGTTGTTCGAGTCTTCTGTTTCTTGTTATCTTCTGCCTGTTTGTCTTGATTGTTTTTGAAAGTGGTGTATTGCATGGGCAGCTGTGATGGCTCATGCCTGTAATCCCAGCACTTTGGGAGGCCGAGGTCGGCGGAACACCTGAGGTCAGGAGTTCACAGCCAGCCTGACCAACATGGAGAAATCCCGTCTCTACTAAAAAAAATACAAAATTAGCCAGGCTTGGTGGTACATGTCTGTAATTGGGAGGCTGAGGCAGGAGAATCACTTGAACCCGGGAGGCGGAGGTTGCAGTGAACCGAGATCATGCCATTGCACTCCATCCTGGGCAATGAGAGTGAAACTCCATCTCAAAAAAAAAAAAAAAAAAGGCCAGGTGTGGTGGCTCACACCTGTAATCCCAGCACTTTGGGAGGCTGAGGCAGGCGGATCATCTAAGGTCGGGAGGTCGAGAACAGCCTGACCAACATGGTGAAACCCTGTCTCTACTAAAAATACAAAAAAATTAGCTGGGAGTGGTGGCACATGCCTGTAATCCCAGCTACTCGGGAGGCTAGGGCAGGAGAATTGCTGGAACACGGGAGGCAGAGGTTGTGGTGAGCCGAGATCGTGCCATTGCACTCCAGCCTGAGCAGCAAGAGCAAAACTCCATCTCAAAAAAAAAAAAAAAAAAAAAAAAAAAAAACAAAGTGGTATATTGCAATCTTCAACTCTTATTGTTGAGCTCTTTTCCTCTTCATTCTTGACAATTTTTACTTTATGCATTTGGGTGCTCTATTTTTATATACACATATCTTTACAATTAATATATTTTCCTGATGGGTTGACGATTTTTGCATTATAAAATATGTCTCTATTTCTAGTAACATTTTCTATTTTGAAGCCTATTTTGCCTGATCTTACTATAGCCACTCCAGCACTTTTGTTGTTGCTGTTTGTATGGTATATCTTTTTTCATCCTTTTACTCTCAATATATTTGTATCTTCGATTTCAAACTGTGTCTTATAAACATCATATAATTTAATCTTTTTTTATTCAGTCTGACAATCTCTGACTTTTGATTGGATTGTTTAATCAATTCACATTTAATGTTATTACTGGCATAGTTGAATTTATGTCTACCATTTTACCTTTTTTTGTGTGTGTATCATGGGATTTTTGTTCTTCTATTCTTCTCTATGCCTTCTTTCACATTAAGTAAAATTTTAATGTAGTATTTTAGTATCTTTATTTTTCCCTATATACTTTTAATTATTTCTTAGGGCTTACCATACACATTTTAACTCATTATAGTCAAATTCAATTTGATTCAATTTCATACTAACTTAATGCTAGTAACATATAGAAATGTTACTGCCATATAGCTACATTCCCTTTCCCCTTTTTAATAGTATTATTGTTATACATACTACATCTATGAGTGTTACAAACCCCAATAATATATTCTTATAATTATTACCTTATATAATTGTATATCTTTTAAAGAAGCTGAGGTCAGAATGGGGAGCAATTATATATTTATAGTCTTTTTATGTTAACCTTTACTATCATTTCTGGTTCTCTTCATTTGTTCCTTGAGCTTGAGTTACCATTGAAGTCATTTCTTTAATCCAATACACATTTGTTCCCACTCATCATTTGTGTGCCACTACTGGGAAATATATTACATTTCTATATGTTATAGGCACAACAGTATATTATATGCATATTGTTTCATATAATTGCTTTTTAAATCAGCTAAAAGATGATGAAATATATATTTATATTGTCTTTTATAATTACCTTTACCAGTGCTCTTTGTTTTGTGTGGATTTGAATTACTATCTGGAGTAACTTGCTGTCAACCTGAAGGATTTCCTTTAGTATTTCATGTAAGTCAAATCTGCTAGCAACATATTTTTTCAGTTTTTGTTGGCAATGTTTTTATTTCACCTTCAGTTCTAAAAGATAGCTTTGCTGAGTTTTTGTTTGACAGCTTTTCCTTTAAGCACTTTGAACATGTTATCCCATTCTCTTCTGGCTTCCATTGTCGTTGCTGAGATATCTGCTATTAATCTTATTGGGACCCTTTTGTAAGTGATCAGTCATTTTTCTATCGATGCTTTCAAAATTTTCTTCTCGTCTTCAGCTTTCATTATTTTTACCAAAATGTGTCTGTTTGTGGATCTCTTTGTGTTTTTCCTACTTGGAGTTCATTGAGCTTCCTATATGTGTACATTGATGTTTCCCAATAAATTTGTAATATTTTCAGCAATTATTTATGAAAATGTTTTTTTCTGTTCCTTTCTCTTTCTCCTCTCCTTCTAGCATTCACCTTATGCATTAGTTGGTGTGCTTAATGGTGTCCCACATTTTTCTGAGGCTCTGTAAATTTGTAATTCTTTTTCCTCTCTGTTCTTCAAATTGCTTAATTTTTATTGATTTATAAAGTTCACTGATTCTTCTGCCAGTTCAGATCTATTATTGAGCACCTCTAGTGGATTTTTCACTTCAGTTATTGTACTTTTTAACTCTAGAATTTCTATTTTCTTACAGTCTATCCCTATATTGATGGGATCCTTTTATTCTTCTCTATTTGATGCATATCATTTCTATCTTTACTTCTTTAGTCATGGTTTCCTTTAGTTTTTTGGACACACTTGGAATGGCTAATTTCAAGCCTTTGGGTGCTGCCATAAGGAATTTTGCCTGTGAACAGAAAAATGCAAATTAATACAACTCTGAGATGCTTCTTTATAAGAAGTTTCATTATTATATTGTCAAAAATTAAAAATCCAGTTATTACCAGAGATTTCTGAGGACAGGGGAGAATGATAATCCTAATATGGCAATGATGGGAGTGTAAACTGATACAGCCATTCTAGCAAGGAATCTGATAGTTCTTGGTCAAATAGAGAATGGATGTACCTTGTTATCCAGTAGTCTGCACTGGATACATACCAGGAATCTGATCCTACAGAGCCATTAAAGAACATGCACAGGCCGGGCGTGGTGGCTCATGCCTGCAATCCCAGCACTTTGGGAGTCTGAGGCGGGTGGATCATGAGGTCAAGAGATCGAGACCATTCTGGCCAACATGGTAAAACCCCGTCTCTACTAAAAATACAAAAATTAACTGGGCATGGTGGTGTGTGCCTGTAGTCCCAGCTACTCGAGAGGCTGAGACAGGAGAATCACTTGAATCTGAGAGGCAGAGGTTGCAGTGAGCCGAGATCACGCCACTGCACTCCAGCCTGGCGGTCAGAGCGAGACTCCATCTCAAAAGAAAAAAAAAAAAAAAGAACATGGACAAAGATATTCACCATAGTGTTTGTAGCAATGGAGAGTTGAAGACAATCCACATGTTCATCCCTAGTGGTAATGGAGAAGTAAAGTAGCTAGATGTATATTGTAGAATATCAAACATCAGTTAGAAGCAAATTATACATACTGCAACATAGATGATTCCTCAAAAATATCATGTTGAGAAAAAAGTAAAAGTACAGAGTGAGATCTGAAGCACAATGTCATTTATAGAAATATTAAACACATCTATATATAATCAATGACATACATAAAAACCATTTGTTGGTGCCTACTTATCATAGGGAGGAACAGAAGTAAAAATTGAGGAAGAAAGGAGTGAAATAAAATTTGTCTTACATGAATTTATGATGAATCTCTGCAAGTCTGCTTCTGAGATGCAAAACGAAAACAAAGATACAGAAATCAAGGAAATACAAGATAATGTCATCAGACGAGATTTAGAATTGGAAGAAAAAGGTTGGAATGTTTGAAAAGAGAGAATAAATAGTATGAAATACTTATCTTGGTTATTTAGAAAGTGAATGTATGGAAAAATATGGTAAAGTTACCAAGCAGGGTTAAATGCCCACTGAAGGTTTGTGATCATGCATTCACAGTGAAACCAGTAAGCCCACTAGTGTGATTCCCCATCATTACATGACTCCTCAGGCAGAGGAGGAAGCAACAGCATTGCTTTTGTTTTTAAGACAAGAGAGATTTGAGTGTGTAAAAGCTAATAGGAATGTGCTCATAGAGACAGGCAGGTCGAAGATACTGGAGAAAGAAAGGGTAACAGATGGAGAAGAATAACAATAACCTGTGCCTGCCCACCCAGCATAGCATCTCTTTCTCTGAGAAGGTAGGGTCTACAGCCATAACACCCTGAATGTACCTGATCTTGTCTGATCTCAGAAGCTAAGCAGGGTCGGGCCTGGTTAGTACTTGGATGGGACATACTAGGGTAGGATAGAGTGGATGCAGATAAATCTATAAGTGGCAGAGGGGCAGAATTTGCAAAAAAAAAATCCATTTCAGCCTTTGTCTTAGCTTGTGAACAGACCTAAATATGTACATCTCATTAAATTTCCCAACGATCACTCCTCATTCAGGTGTTCCAGAAACAATGCCTCTGATGACAGACATCTGTAACCTACATAACCAGTGCAGTAGGATGCATTTCAATTTAAAATCATCCATCCAACTCTCATTTGCTACTGGTGATAATTAGTACAGTCTCTCCAGAGAGAAAATTACTTATCCAGATCCTTAAAAATCATTCATACAATTTTTCCCAGTATTCCACTTCTAGAAATGTATGCTAAGGAAATAATCAGAGAGATACACAAAGACTTGTACAAAGATATTTAGTCTAGTGTTATTCCTATAATAAATAACAAAAATTGGAAGCCACTTAAATGTTCCTACAGCAGAGGAAGGGTTAAATTAAATTCAAAGATATCCATTGAAGAAAATATTTTATTGCCATTAAAATAATGTTTAAAAATAATATTGGCTCGGCCGAGCGTGGTGGCTCATGCCTGTAAACCCAGCACTTTGGGAGGCCAAGGCAGGCAGATCACGAGGTCAGGCGATCGAGACCATCCTGGCTAACACGGTGAAGCCCTGTCTCTACTAAAAATACAAGAAATAAAAATAAAAATAAAGAAAATTAGCCGGGCATGGTGGCAGGTGCCTGTAGTCCCAGCTGCTCGGAAGGCTGAGGCAGGAGAATGGCGTGAACCCAGGAGGCGGAGTTTGCAGTGAGCTGAGATTGCACCACTGTACTCCAGCCTGGGGGACAGAGCAAGACTCTGTCTCAAAAATAAAATAAAATAAAATAAAATAATAATATTGGCTCAGGAAAATATGCATAATATTCAAACAGTTTAGCCGCAGCCTAATTTCTGTGCACCCAGGCTAATTAATGTTCTTGGGAACTAATTAGAGCTGACATGTACAGCCAGCCTTTTGCTTACTCTGCGGGATCTTGTTCTGTATGATTTCTCTAGGGGGAGCCTGCTCACTTTGAGTATTTGATGTATCCATTGCACTCAGCACCCATCACCGGTCTAGCTACCTGCATCCGCAAACCCCTCATAGCCACCTGTTCTCTGGATCGATCCATCCGCATTTGGAATTATGAAACAAAGTAAGGAATGAAAGACTTGCCTACTTTAGTATGCAAGACTCCAGTTTTTAATTTGTTTATGTGTATTATTTTAATTACAGTGTTTCAAACTTTAATTACTTAGAAGCTTTCAGTTGGAAAAGATTTTTTAAAAATCAAGTCAGTCAGCCTACCTGTTTCTCACTCTTGCATGGGCTAGAAAACTACTTTGTGGTTTACTTAATGCTTACCACATGCCAGACACTGGGGACATGAAGATATGAAGATGACACCCCAGTCTCTCACCTTCTTACATAAACTCCTGTGTCCCTCCAGCTCTCCTATCCCCTTGTTTCCCACAGGAACTGCTCTCTGCTTCAGGGAGCCCTCCAGACCCTTTCTTCCTCCTCTTTCTCCCAGGACATCACTATCCCAACCCAGATTTTACCTTCTGGCACAGCTTCCCTGGGAAGCTCCGACCCTAGTTGGACTCCCACCCCCCCACTGTTTTCTTTGTTCTTGTGTGCAACTTCTGGGGCTTCTAGGGAAAAAATACTTGGACAATACTCATGAATTTTGGAATCTAAACAGCTATGTCTTCAGCATTGCTAGACCACACTTTGACCAATCTCTTTATCTACCATGCTCCATGCTGGACATTATACCCTCATAACCAAAATCTAGAAAAGAGAGGAACCAACAATTGCAAATAGTAGTATATCTCAAATACTATCATAACAACATATATCAGATACAGTGGATGACTGGAGGGATTCAGTGAGCTAGGCTTACAATTCAGTGATTGATCTTTTTCACAGCACTCTGGAACTATTCAAGGAATACCAAGAAGAGGCCTATTCCATCAGCCTTCATCCATCTGGACACTTCATTGTAGTAGGGTTTGCTGACAAACTACGCCTCATGAATCTACTCATTGATGATATACGTTCTTTCAAAGAATACTCTGTTAGAGGATGCAGAGAGGTAAAAAACTGCTGAAGACAAAAGTCCAGTTTCTTAGAAAGCCACGGCTGAAATATCAGGAACTAACATGGTCTGGGGAGGTGGGACCAAAATCTGTCTTGGAGAACTATAGTGGCTTAAAAAAAGTGGGGAGGGGGAAATCCAGTTCTTTTCCCAGCAACCTTATTGAGTATATGCTTCCATCCCCATTTTCTTATGTCCACCAGACTATTTCATTGAACCTAAAACCTTGTGAGATCCCCGCTATGATAAGTCCTGTCTGTAATGGTGGAGTATTAGCAAATATTTTAAAAGAAAAGTAATCTCAGAATCAGAGTCACAGCTAGGAAGGTGAGGTTGGAGACAGGAGCCACGGAAAAATAAGCATCGATGGTGAGAGGCAGGAAAGAGCTCATCAGCTTTCCCCAAGGTGACTTGTACAAACAAGGCAATGATTTCAGGAATTACTTCCCCTGCTCTAAAACGTGCTTCTACAGGCAGAATGACTGCTTGTGGTCCCAACGGCTTCATGATTTGCGGGCCTGGCAGTGTCAGCATCTGGCCACTATGAGTCACAGGAATAGTGAAAGTGTCTGAAAATGTCAGCGACTCCTCAATCTCGTCTGCACCTTACCCCCACTCCCACCCTCACATGTAGTTTCAGTCCGAACTCTTGGGAAAATCACCTCTTGACTGTAACCTCTAATTAGACTGCTCGCTTCCTGCTTGCTTGCTCTCTTGCTGTCTTTCCCTGTAGTGTTCCTTTAGCAACGGAGGTCACCTGTTTGCTGCAGTCAATGGAAATGTGATTCACGTTTACACCACCACGAACCTAGAGAACATCTCAAGCCTGAAAGGACACACAGGGAAGGTGAGTGAGTGAACGGTCTCCAGGGAAACAAGGGGCACAGAGCCAAGCATGCCGCCAGCCAGTGGGATGCAGGTGAACAAAAGAGAGGTGGTTCCTTTCCTCATGGGTTCACTGTCTACTTGGGGAAAGACACAATAAAACAAATGCACAGACAAATGTAATTACTAATTGCAGTTCCACTGAAAGAAAAACATGGTGTTGTTATGAGAGAAATAATGAAGGGGGCGGCATAATTTAGGTGGCTGTATTTGCAAAGGCTTGGTCCTATAAAAGTGAGTAGGAATTAATCAGACAGAACTGGTGGGGATAATCATTGCAGATAGGGATCCAAAGGCCAGAGATGGGAGATTCATGGGGTGTCAGAGGACATGAAAGTCTGTGGACCTGGAATGTGGTGCCAGGATAAACCATGGGGTAAAGATGGGCTGAGATTGGAGAGGTCACAAGGGCCCAAATGCATGG